CTGGCCGTCTTTTCATATTCAAATATAGCGCCCTTTAAAAGGGCGCTATATGTATTTTGGTCACTAACTTTTTTTTCACTTATTTTTGTGTCTTGAGTCGAAAAATGCATTATTTTGGTTCCGGGCTCGTGGGGAGATTTCTCTCTCCACCTTAATTTATGTAACACTTTTTTCTTTTTTAGTTAGTCCCAAAAAGCATAACATTGGTTTGTATTTAGTAATAATTTAATTTTAAACTTTTCATTTAACCTTTAATATAATGATTTTTAGATACAAAAAACTATAACTTGTTTTAGACCACAAATTTTAAAAGTCTTTGTTTATTTTTAAATGTTGTGCCCTCTCAACCACCATACTTAAATTGGATCAAGGGGAGTATCATTTTTCCTTTCCCGATATTAAAGTTGCTAAGCCTAATTTTTGTAAATCACTTTCACCTCCGATCTAATTATGAGTTTAGGGTTTGAGTTATAAGTGAAAAGCCAACACTACTAGAAATTCGGCCAAAATCGACAACGGCCTTTTCATTTAACCTTTAATATAATGATTTTTAGATACAAAAAACTATAACTTGTTTTAGACCACAAATTTTAAAGGTCTTTGTTTATTTTTAAATGTTGTGCCCTCTCAACCACCACACTTAAATTGGATCAAGGGGAGTATCATTTTTCCTTTCCCGATATTAAAGTTGCTAAGCCTAATTTTTGTAAATCACTTTCACCTCCGATCTAATTATGAGTTTAGGGTTTGAGTTATAAGTGAAAAGCCAACACTACTAGAAATTCGGCCAAAATCGACAACGGCCTTTTCATTTAACCTTTAATATAATGATTTTTAGATACAAAAAACTATAACTTGTTTTAGACCACAAATTTTAAAGGTCTTTGTTTATTTTTAAATGTTGTGCCCTCTCAACCACCACACTTAAATTGGATCAAGGGGAGTATCATTTTTCCTTTCCCGATATTAAAGTTGCTAAGCCTAATTTTTGTAAATCACTTTCACCTCCGATCTAATTATGAGTTTAGGGTTTGAGTTATAAGTGAAAAGCCAACACTACTAGAAATTCGGCCAAAATCGACAACGGCCAACTGATCGATTTCGGTCGGTCAAAAAACCGATCGAAAAACCGACCGAAGTTGGTCGTTTTTTCATATAAAATAAATTAAAATTAATATTCAAAAAATCGACCAAAATCGGTCGGTTATTTCAGTCAGTCATTTTAAAAAACCGACCGACTTCGGTCGGTCATTTTATTTTTTTCGGTCAGTTATTTTCGCACAAAATGTAATTAAAGAGTACAAATAAAATAAAATAAAAGTCTTCAACCAAAATGTACCAATGGTGTAGTGGTAGAATAATATCCTGCCATAGTACATACCCTGGCTCGATTCCCAGACGATGTCGGTTTATTTTTTTGGCATATTTTTTTTCTTTTGGGTCGTTTGTGAAATTTAACTTACCGACCGGGTCGAAAGTTGCGACCGAATTCGGTCGCTATTTATTACCGACTAACCTAATTTCGACGGATTAAAGTCGATCGATTTTTCTAATTTTTTGATCGATTACTGTCGGTATTTCTGTACGATTTTAGGAACTTTCTAGTAGTGCAACTGATTGATAAGAAAATGAATCTTGATCCTAATCCAATTCACAAATAAGCTGTATAAGGAGATCCATTCTTACTTTCGACCCAATATGGGATTCAACATTAACAATTTAACGTGGCAGGTGCAAAGTAGTATTCCTACACAAGCTGACACTATATCAAACTGCCTCAGATCACGACTACCACATTTGCAATTGTTGTTGCTGCTGATTTTGATTGGTTCTAAGCTCCTTTTGCCTCCTTATTTCAATAACCTTACGGTGAGAGTTGGAATGCTCGGTTGAAACAAACGTCGGGCTCGCGGCGGGCCGGTACTCAGGCACCAACCGACCCGACTTATATCTAACTCCACACGCATTGCACAGTGTCTTTGGGCCCATTGGTCCTGTGCGCCATTGCGGCGTTGTTTCAGAACCACAATGCTTACATTTACGACCTGTACTTGTGTCGGTGCTCTCTCTCCTCCTGCACGGCGTCGTTTTCAATGAGCTATTGCTGTCTAATGATGACGTGGTGGCGGGAGGGAGGAGCAGGAGGCGAGATAACCAGCCGCAGGGAGCGGCGCGTGAACGCTTGCTTCGAGATTTGCATGGAAATGCAGGAGGTGAGTTACTGCCAGTGGTATTGTGGTAATTCCCGCTGAAAGTTACGGTTCCGGATGAGGAATTCTCGGCGGATGTGGTGGTGGTTGAAGGGCCTTCTGTCGCCGGAATAAACTGAAGATTTTGAAGGTCGTCGGTTGAGAATGATTCCTCTACAAAGTTTGAGATCCATTCCAGCTCAGCCAAATCGTCATGCTGTTGAAAAATATGTAAGAACTTTGAGTATATTCCTTCCAAATAAATACTACTACTTGTTACATCGAAAGTTCCACTTATAACATTTTAAATTTAGAAATTAAATGTTAGAAAATTATAAATTACAATCTTAGTCATACTAGAATTATACTAGCAACATCTAGAAACATTAATCATAATGTAAAACGTAATATATCGTTTCTCGCTAAAGGAGTGTAAAATTGAGAGTTATTACCGGAACGCAGAGTTCGCTGGTAAGGAATGGGGCGTCGGTGAAGCTACGGTAGCTGAGGTTGCCGTCAAAGTGTTCTTCCCCACCAGAAACTAACGAATTACAGCTATCAACGACGGTGAGGGAGGAAGAATCGGCAGAATTGCCGGCGATAGCGTTGAAAAAGGCGTCAGTCATGACTTCATCTTCCTTGGAAAAATCCAAAAGGTCATCTACGGTAATATGGTTATTGTTTTTGTTATTATTCGTGCTGTCGAATGGCTTATGTTCGAATTGAGAATCTATGACAGGAGCGGAATAGCCGCCGGCGAAGAAGTCCGGTGTTTCCATTGGAGCAAAATGTGTTAAAGTGTGAAGTCTCTTACTATGGAGTATTTATAACTGAAACGTGAATGAGAGCTACAAATCAAAATAGAGATAAAGGGAGAAAATGGAGGAGTGATAGATGGATCGAGTCTCAATAAGAGTACTACAACAACAACAGGCCACTAAAATTCCACTAATGAGGTCTGGGGAGGATAGTGTGTACGCAGGCCTTACCCCTACCCCGAAGAAGTAGAGAAGCTGTTTCCGAAAGACCCTCGGTTCAAAAAAAAAAAAAAGAAGATAAAAGGACAAAAATGAGACAATATTAGTATCACAACAACAATCATAGGATAGATAGAAACACCATGAAATCCAGAGGAAGGATGCAAAGCAAAGAGAGACAATATTAGTAAATATTAGTATCACCATAACAATCATAAGAACAATAAAAACACCATGAAATCTAGAAGAAAGATGCAAAGAAAAAGCAATAGCTAGTAAATATGACATGCACTGAAAAACGAAATAGTAAGCCACAACATTGCCATTAGCTATCTTAAACAACAACCCTACATGGCTAGTCTCACAATGGTACGAAGTAAGACACGACTCAACTACCTCCTAACCTACAACCCTAATACTCGACTTCCACATCTTTCTATCTAGTGTCATGTCCTTGGAAATCTGGAGTCTCGTCATATCCTGCCTGATCACCTCTCCCCAATACTTTTTAGGCCGCCCTCTACCTCTTCTCGTGCCCTCCACAACCAGCTGCTCATACCTCCATACCGGAGCATCTAGGCTTCTCCTCTGAACATGTCCGAACCATCTAAGCCTCGTGATGTTTGGCATATTTCGATATGTGTTGATGTTACTTTGCCCATGCTTTAACCACTTTTTGNGCTTCCCGTATCTTGTCATCAATGGGAGCCACATACACCTTCTCCCGAATATCATCATTCCTAATCTTATCTATCATAATGTGCCCGCACATCCACCGCAACATTCTCATTTCTGCTACTTTCATCTTCTTAACGGGCCAATACTCAGTCCCATACATCATGGCCGGTCTAACCACCGCTTTATAAAACTTACGTCAGGACAGAATAAGAGTGGTAGGACTAAATAGGAAATGAACAGAAAATATAGATTTTAATTTAGATCGTGTTCAAATGTGTATTATTTAACAAGACAAGATTGGGCATTAAAATATTATTAATAGAATTCATGTATATTTTATATGAATAAGACAAGATTGGTAAATAAAATATTAAGTTTTAGCTTAAAAATAATTTGATAGTAAAAATACCAGAACAAATTTGCATAATCGAAATTTTGTTGTACCAGAGAAGTATAGGCCTTTGAATGAGGAGTACTTGGAGAGTTGGAGTGTGTACGAAGATAACATGATGAAGTACATTATGTAAGATAATTTGATGGGCCGATCAATTCAAATTTCAATGTAACTTTTCAAATTTTAGGTAACTAAATTTTACCTTCAAAACTCTGTTGATAAGGCGTTAGTAACTCCGGCGTTAGAAAAGTAATAATTTAAAATCATATGTTAATTCAACTTAAAAAAGAATAAAATAAACTCTTATATACAATGAACAAAATAGATTTGCTAAACTATCACCATTCTTTTGTTTCATGCACTTCCTTGGAACTTGCATTTCACCCTTCTCATTATTTTGGAAAATTTTATGCTTGCTGTCTCCTCTCTGCCTCTGCTATATTATCACAAATTTTAACTCCATTATTGGTACTTTCTACCTCCCTAAGTCATGTTATTATATTCCTTAACCCACGTTTAAGCATGATCATTGCAGCTCGATCTGATCAACTTGCACGGTCATGATAATGTCCATCTCCATTACAATTTTAAGATTTATCTTGATCATCTCATTGTAAAATAAATACTACTATCATTTAACAACTTTATTGCTGTCAAGTCTGTCAATGTTCAGCTGTTTGGGTTCTGAATAAGGGATCGTATTATGAGAATTTATTATAATATGGATAATAATCAGGGTTTTAATGGTAAAATTAGTTGGTTGATCATCAAAACGTACTCATCTAGGTGATGAATAACTGTTAGTAATTTTAAGTAGAATTTTCTTTCAAAGTTTTTACTACATTTAATAATGTTTATTGCACATTAAAAAAAAGCAAGAGCATTAAAGGGTAAAATATTGAAACGTATACAATATTTATCATTTCATGATTTTTTTGTAATATTATATCTTAAGTCATGCAAGCTCATAGATTCTCTTTGTTTTTTCCTGACTTATTCTCTTTTTAATTGTGCGTGTAATCCAAAAACTAATTCAGTCGACTGATCGGGGCGAACTCAGGATTCTTAGAGGAGGATTAGTAAAAAAAAACAAGCTCAACAAGGATCGATCCCTGGTCCCTAGTGGGCAGTGACTACTGCAAGTACCAAGATTAGTCGCTGTTAAAATATGAGATAAACATTGTTTACTGTCACTAATCACTCATCCTTTTGCAAAATTCTTTAACAACATTTCTTTTTTGACAAATAAATTACTACACTATATAGAAAAAGTTGCAAACAAGAAGGGAGTGATTTTCCTGCTAGATTTTTATTATATATATTTTCTTCTAGTTATCAATTCGAAAAGTTTGAAATTCTCAATTAGGAGTGTGGACTTTTGGAATGTTTCGTGGGGTCTGAGTGACCGACTTAGCACGTGACAAAGGTGAGGGAATTGTCAGCTATCATGTTTGTCTCTAAATACCACCGCCACAAGCTACAATTTGCTTCTTTCAAATAGCTGAATATTCATGGGATCTTAATTTATACAATTAATATTCTTTCACAAGGCCCATCCCAACTATTGTAGTCAACAGTTCGAAACAGAGCTGGTCAAAACAATCAAAATTTCATTCCAGAGGGAAATGGGCTTCCCTAATATATACAAAATATATAAAAATCTGGATTTTGGGCTAAGGCCATTGGTGTTTCTCACGAACTCGAGTATCTGATCTTCTTTACATTGATGCTTCCTAAACGCGCGTCAAGAGTATACTAACGTGGTTGCACGTGTTGTGCTGAATACTGCACGTGCCTACAGCCTTGATATTTGGTTTTGATCGAGTTCCGAGCTCTCTACATTGTTAGATTCATTTCCTTTGTCCTAAGTATTGGCTGATCTCTCAGGGCTAGTTTGGTAGGGGGCTTAAGAATTAATTAATATTGATATTAAATTTGAGATAAATTTATCTCATATTTGATTGGGATAAAATCGTGGTATAACTAATCCCGATATTAATATTAATCTCGAAATTATTGTATTTTTTTTATCTCTATGAGCGAATGAGATAACTAATCTCATAATAACTAATTCGGGATAATAATCCCAACCAAACGACCCCTTATCTTGCTAATAGTTCCTTCCTCAATTATTCCCATTCGCGAGATATATTGGCCAATCTCGTTTAAGAAATTAAAAAAATAAATACTTTTGAAATTTGTGTTCTAAAATAAGCTATAGAAATTTGTGTGACAAATAAAATAGGAAGTTTAAAATTAAATTATTTTTAAATAAGGAATATGACATTAATTTTGGTACATATTAATAAGAAAAGTACACGCTTGAATTTGGACATAGGAAATATTAATATATAAAAAATATACATTTGCAGTATATTATTTTGGAATTGCATGAAAAAGTTGGACATTTCAAGGCCTCCATTTTCGTTATGCTAACTGAACAAGTACTTTGCTCTCTCAATACCTCCATTACTATCNATAAAGTTAATTCGAGCTCACTGAATTCACGGTGTTTTTTTAAAAAACTTAATCCCCTTCAAGTACTCGAGATTTAGGATTATTTCCTCCCAAAATAGAACGGATTACCCTCACTGGTGTAGGTGTACTTCAAACCTAGTGACTAATGAACTCAAAAATCGGTAGCAAATCCCGAAGAGTTGTAACTCTTCATTTTAAGGTTGCAACTCAAAGTGGTTGTTTTATAAAATAACCATTTACTCAAATCGCCAAATTTAAATTCTAACGGAAAAATCAAAACGGAGAAAGTCAATTTACCGTTACACGGTTGATTTGAATTAAAATAATATTACATTAATTTTTATATTAGCAAATAAATTTGGTCCAAATAATTAATCAATCAATCAGATTATTTGACCAAAACCAAAAGCCGAAGCCGAGCAACGATAACGGTACGAGACTTGCCTTCTTCTCAACTCTGTAAGAGCTAGAAGAAGTGCAATTGCATTGTTTACCCTAAAATCGCATAACAATTGAATTTATACGCGGTTTTAAGGATACGTGATATAACTTGATACAAGTTGAGAAAATAGATCAATACTGAAATTAATCATGAGAAAATAAATGCAAACCACAGAAATTGAACAGTCTTAGCCTTGAAGGTTGGTCGCCCTCGAGTTTGGAAATGCTTCAATCAACAACAGAACAAGTTAACAAGATAACAAGAATAGAAATGATCAATATATTGCTTCTTTGATGCCTGTTACAATGTTGTTTACGAATGATCAGGCCTCCATTTTTATAGTAGGGGAGCCCTACTCTTGATATAATTCTATAAAAGATAAAAATCTCGTGATTTGCTAATTAATCGACATCTCCTTGATACGTGCCGAGATTTTTGCCGTGATCTCCAACTAATCGTGGATATTTCGGCCTTCCGTTATTTGGCTCGACAAAGTTCCCTCGATCTTGTTTGGTCCTGGAGTCACGAGCTTAACAATTCAACTTTGTGCCTGGGTTCGATATAATCCGAGGTCGAGCCCCGACCCGTCACGTTTCGGTCTCGACTAGTCATACAATATATGAACCCGGTTTCTACCGTATACAGATAGTCCCCTCATTTTTTGGAGAGAAGACGATGGGAAACGATATGAACTTCTAAGCCTTGCTTCGATAAACCATGACGTAAGCGACAAAAGGTCACTGAAACGTCTCGTCGATCCAGTCTTCAAGGCAATAAATATGTGTCAGTTGTTGGTCGGCCACTACGGGTTTTGAACCGCTGTTTTGCAAATTATAAATACTTTACCCTTCCATCCATTAGAACTTTTATATTCAAACGCTTGTT